AAAAAAAAAAAAAGACAGGGATACCTACTCTTGACACTTCTATTCAACATAATAATAGATGTACTATACAAAGCAATTAGAAAAGCAAAAAATAAAACAACAAAGAAAAGGTATCCAAATTGGAAAGATAAAAATTAAAGTGATCCTTACGTGAATACAATACAGTCTTTTATACAGAAAACCACACAAAGTCCACAAATTGTTGAACTAAGAAAAAAAAAATGCAACATAGACTCAGGATATAAAATAAACAGTTATTTCTATAAATAAACTATCTGGAAAGGAAATTAGGATATCACATGCAACTTAAAGCAGCAAAGGTTCGGTTTGGCTTGTGGTGGTAGAGAATTCAGTCCACAGTAAGCTGGGTGCAAAGTGTAAACACTGTGGCCGAAGATCATGGTAAAGGAAAGTTGCTCACCTCACGGCAGACAGGAAAAGAGCCCAAGAAGAAATATGCTCTTCAAAGCCATGGCCCAGGGACCTACCTCCTCCAAGTAGACCCTACTTGGTAACAGCCCAGGCAGCTAATGAACTCATCACTGGATGAATCCACTAACAAGGTCAGTGACCTGATGAGTCAATCACCTCTAGGCCTCACCTCTTAATACTCTTGCAGTGAGGATCAAAACATTTATACATGAGTCTTTGGAAGATACTTCATATGGAAACCATTAACACACAGTAAAAACTAAAATATTGATGGAACAAATTTTAAAAGGCACAAACAAATGGAAAGGGATCCTATGTTCATGAACTAGAAAATATAATACTGCAAAAATGTTCATATTACCTTAATTGATGCATGGATCCAGTGCAAACCTTAGCAAAATCCATATGGCATTTGGCAACAAACATATGAAAAACAGTTCTAAGGTTCATATAAACTCAAATAGATAATTCTGACCAAAAAGCTAATGGTAGTACCTTTCTTGATTTTAACATATACTATAAAGTTACAGCAATTATAGCAGAATGATACTATAATGGTAGTAAAACTATAAAAAATAAAAAGGTAATAGTACTAAATTACTAATAAATTTCAACTTTCCAAGGAAAAATAAATATTGTTCACATTTTTAGAATTATTAAGAATATTATGGAAAGCTAGGGAGTTGACCCCTTATCTTAAAAATAACTAATAAAGTTTGTGGTATAAATTCAAGTAATTTTGAGGTTTTTTTTTTTTTTTTAAATATAAAGAGACTGAGTTTAGCTTTGGTATCTTACCAATAATAATGACACTATTTTGGACAAATCACAAAACATCAAAAACTCAGTTTCTTTAAATATGAAATAATATAAAATATAAAGCTGGACTATTTTCTACGAATTTTGCTACTTTCCAACTTATTACATTAATATTTATTTCACAAAAGTAAAATATTTTTAAATAAAGCTAACACTTTCAAAACACTTACTTCTGTTTATGTAGGACATCTCTTACAATCTAAAACACTTAAAATTTTAAATGTGAGGTTCGTTTGGTAAAAAGCAGATTTTTATGGTATGCTATTATCTGAATTATAACTATATTTTAAACCCATCTATGCCCATGGAGTGGAAGAGGAAGGCCAATAGACCACAGCTTTAAAAAGCTCACATTCCTTACAGCAAATGACTAACACCAAGCCAGAAGCAACCTAGATGAATGTGGTACATCCTTGTAATTGCTAATCATTTTCCAAAACAAAGTTCAGTTTTAACATCATGAGAGAACAATGTTCCAATGTCTAAGTACAAAGGCAAAATAATAATGAAATCTGACAAGTGTTCTTTAAGAAAGTTTATTTACCTGTAAGGGCCCCAAGATAGAGCTGGTCGTATACATAAAAAAGAGCCGAAGATAACTCAGAACATTTGCAAATGCAAAAAGCCCTTCTGCCACAAGTGTAGGATGGAATGCATCCCAGTCCTTCCGATCAGCAAAATCATGAAACTAGGGTTCAAAGAAAAGCCAAAGGGAAACAATATTCTCAACTCAGGAAAATAAAAACAAATATTCTGAAGTTTCTGAAAGAAAACTATTTTAATATGCTTCTTTGTAGAGGGAATCTCCATTTATGCTTTATAAAGTTTTTCTTCTTTAATAAAACAATGCTTTAAGTAAATAAAATATTTCTATGTACATGAGACAATATCAATCTAAATAAAAAAATTTTCTAAGACATTGTTAGGTTTTAAAAACAAAACTAAAATTCTTAAAATTGTCATTAAAATTTTAAGAATGAAATAAGTTCATTCTTAAATTCCCAAATATAAACTTAAAGTCTGTATGTTGTCAATTAATTAGCTATCATATTAAGCCAACCTAGTCCTTTAATTCAGATTATAGCATGATTCATAGGAGAGAGGTAGGGTGGGAAAAAGGGAGGGAGGGAGGGAAAAAACAGAATAGAGAAAGGCAAAGGGTAGAGGGGAAGTGAAGGAAAGGGAAGGAGACCAAGCTCAGCTGAACTGCATGGAATGGTCTAAGATATATGCAGTTGTCTGTACATAATTACTAATAGTATTTCCTTTTACTTTCAAAATGTATTTTTGTTTGGATAATAAATTATAGGCCTACTCTACTTCTAGAAGTAAAAAGATCAGTATGAAAAAGCAATCCCATGTAAGCTCTTTATCTAACTATATAGGATTAATTTTTCTTAGTTACTTTATATTGTCATCAAATGTCCTTAAGCAGTATGTTGCATACTATTAACCAATTAAAGGAATAGAATTTTTTTAAAGATAAAATGATAGAAGAGAATCACTTTCCTTTTCTATAATCTATAAATCAGTAAAAAAGAGAATATTATGTATTTTAGTTACTTGGTTGTGTCACCCCAGAAGAATTCTAAACTCAGGATTTAAAGATTGTTAACATAGTATCTAATTATCCTTTCTGGCCTTGGGAGAGTATAATACTTGATTAAAGTAAAATTATATGTCCACAAAGCTAAATTCATATTAAATTGTGAATTAAAATGAATACTCATCAGAAAAAATAATTGCACTTATATCATCACTTTTTAAGATGTAAAAGATAACCATGATTTCAAATGTGCCAAATACTAATGAATTTCATTAAGCTAAACTTTTTTCAGATTAATATAAAAACATTTAACATGAATCATTTTAAGTTATGTCCTCATTTAAAGTATATACAGGTTAATGAACTACATGAACCTAGCTCAGATATAAAGAATTGGCATTTAATAGAAAGAAAATGCCTAGACAGACCTGGACTTAAATCCAGTCTTGGTTTAATATCTCTGAGCTTCATTTTTCTTATTTGCAAAATGGGAATAAGGACTTCTGTCTCATAAATTCCCTGTGAGGATAAAATGAGATAAAGTATATCAAATATCAATCATGGTACCTACTATATAGAAGGTAACATCCTCTAAAGACACATTCTTCTTTTCTTTTTTTTTCAAGACAGGGTCTTGCTATGTAGTTGAGGCTGGCCTTGAACTCACTGTGTAGCCCAGGCTGGCCTTGAACTCACTGCAATACCCTGCCTTAGCCTCCCAAGTGCTGGGATTACAGGTGCACACCAGCACACCTGGCTAAAAGGTATATTCTTTATATTACTAGAAAGGTAGAAAACTATATGCACACAGGTAAGTTTTAAGATAAAAACATACCAGACACAGAAATGACCCTGTATAACTGGTTAACATAATTAAATATCTTGAAGTTTCTGAAGTACACTTTTATGCCATCAATTGACATAGTAAATAGTCACCTTGTTGTGAGCAACCACTTTGAGAGCAAAGGTTGCCAAATAAAGGGAATTCATGACAAAACTGAGTTGATTACGAGATTCTTCTAAAAAGTCTTCCAAACCTTCATACCAGAGTCTTTTAATATCTGACCAAATCATCCCTAAAAAAAGGAAGAACAAAATTAGATAACACTTTCTTAATTCAATAGTAAAATAAATAATACTTTGAGTCAAGTTATTAAACTTGACTAAATAAGCTAAATAATATTTTGAGTCACAACCCCTTGGCCAGCTATAGCCTTAAAAGAAAAACAAGAACTTTTTAGAGAAAAGTTCCTAAAATTTGAGAAAAAATAAACACAGGTTTCAGATGACTTAATACAATAATATTAAGATTCTTTGCCAGGTGTGGTGGTGCATGCCTATAATCACAGCACTTGGTAGGCTGAGTCAAGAGGACCATTGTGAGTTTGAGCATAGCCTACACTACATAGTGAGTTCAAGGCCAGCCTGCACTAGAAGGAGACCCTCTCTGGGGGAGTGGTGCAGGAGGGGGGAAGAGTTTCTTTTTGGCCAGAGAGAGAGATGTTAAATAATATGAAACAAGCTAAGAAAACAAATACATTAATGTTAAACACACACATACACATACACAGTTATGGTTTGTATCTGTATATTCCCCCAAAGCCTCATGTGACCAAAGAGGAGTGTGTGTGTGGATTTTCATAGGGGGCTGAATCTAGAGTTTGTGATTAGTTCTTTGTCTAGTGTTGGGTTAGGGGATGTGAGTGCTCCATCTGCCCTAGGGCAGATAGCCTGCATGCAACATATGAGAGGAAGAGAGGCTTCCCTTCCCTTTTTGTTCTTGCTTTTGCCACCTCCCACTGCCATGAACTGCTACCCCTCTGCCTAAGCACCCTGCCTTATAGTCAGCTGATTATGGACTGAGACCTCTATAAACTGTGAGCTAAATGAACTTTTCTTTCCTTAATTTTGGTTGTCAGGTATTTTGTCTCAGCAACAAGAGAAAAGTAACAACACACACACACACACACACACACACACACACACACACACACGCGTTTGGCCCCCCATCCTTTTCTTTCATTGTACTTATTACTTCAGTGATCTCATCCAGTTTAATGGCTTTAAATACCAACTCTCTAGCAGATTCTCAAACGTACACATTTAAACAACATATATTCTCATGATACTTTATTTCTCTAAGCCTCTATATGAAAGTATTTGGGTATTCTACACCTGCAATTGGAAATGTGTCCAAACCAAACCCCTATTCTCTGCCCCTGAAATTTTTCCACCTGCAGACTTCCTCATCTCAGTTCACAGACAAGTCATTTTTCTAGTTATTCAATAAAAATGGTCCTGGCAACTGTAGGGTCCCAAGTTCAATCCCCGGTACCGCAAAAAAATAAATAAATAAAAATTCTCTTCAAGTATCCCTGTCTTCTGGTTTTTTAAAAAAACTATATAACAGTGCAAAAACAAAACCTGTTGACTCTACTTTCAAAATATATTTAGTGTCTAATCCTTCTCAAAACCACTTTGAGCCACTACTTTCACTTGCCTGATTTAGCTAGTTTGTCTCCTTGCTTCTACTCATCTCCTTAAAATGTTTTCAGTACAGCAACCACAGTCACTCTTTCACAATCCCAGTGCTTCTTTTGCCTCAAAACCCTTTCTGGTAGCTCCCAGAGGAAAAAGGATTAACAGAAAGTAAAACTTTCTCCATGGGAACAAAATATCTGGTTACCTGCCACTAATGTGGTTTATTTGGAAACATACCACATTAAGAAAAATATGGAAGGTCTGCTGTGTTCAACACTTTTGCAAACACTACTGTTAACTGGGAAAGTGCATGTGGACTGGAGGACTCTGAGTATGAACAGGACTGTATACCATAAAAGCAGGTTGAGAAACACAGGACTCAGCTTCTTTGACATTTTTAATCTGAGTGTGACTGGAGCCACAGCTGTACTTCTGGACTGTATTTTTAGGTAAGGTAGTCTCCATCCATACACATGGTCTTATCCCATACAAATGAGAGTACCCACTATGGGGCCAAGAAGCAACCTACAAGTTCTGTACGGACTCTCCATAAAGACGTATTTGAAGCTAAAGCACTGGCATGCTGTTTTCTATCTTGTATCTTACAAAGCTAATTAAACTTGCTACCAGATTTCAGGGTACTGTGTCCTGTGGGTATGAAAGAGAATCCAAGAAAACTGCAACTGATTTCAACAGGACATATACCACCCTTGCTTAAATCCCATTTCACAGAGTCAAAACCAAAGTCTTTATAATGGCATATAAAGCTCTTCATAACTCCTCCTGTCTGACCTCATGGGCTAGTATTTCCTGCTATTTTAGTCACACCGATCTCTTTGTTTCCTTACTACCCTTTGCACATACAACTCCCACCTTACAGGCTCTACTCTGGCTCTTCTCTGTGGCTGGAAGATCATCAGCCAGATATCCAGGAGGGTGTTATTTAATTTCCATGTGTTTATGAAGTTCTTGTGGCTTCTTTTGCCACTGATTTCTCTTTCATTGCATGATAGCCTGAAAATACACACAGGATAATTTCAGTTCCTTTACATTTACTTAAGCATGTTCTATGAGCTAGTATGTGGTCTACTTTGGAGATCATACCATGTGCAGATGAGAATGTATATTCTGATGCTATGGGGTGGAGCACTGTAGACATCTACTAAGTCCATTTGTTCATAAGTTTGGTTCAGTTCTAATATGTGTTGACTTTTTATCTAGTTGACCTGTCTTTGTCACAGTGGGTAACTGGGAACCCTCAATATAATTGCACTAGTACTTGATTTTTCATGCCCATTAATATTTGTTTTATATAGTAAGGTACACTGGTATTTGTTGTATATTTATTATCTCTTCCTCTTGGATTATTCCCTTCACAAGGATGTAGTGACCTTCTTTGTTTCTCTTAATCAGTCTTGCCTTGAAATTCACATTGTCTGCAAATAAGAGCTATTCCTGCTTCTTTTTAGGTTCCTGTCACATAAAACATTGTTTTCCATCCTTTGACTTTCAGTCTATGAATTAATCAAATATGCTTCTTGTAGCAGCATATTGTTGGATCGTGCATCTTGATCCAATCAGTGTTTCTTTTGATAAAGTGTTTCTTTTGATAAAGTGAATGGAGGACATTAATGTTGATGGTTATATGTACTGACTCTCCCATTTTATGTTACTGTTCTGTTGTCTGTTCTGTTCTAGAAGCAACCCGTCTTTTTCTTTTAATTGTTATGCTGTCCGACATGTTCATTTTGAGGGATTCATGGAGTTGTAGTGCTTATCTCTTTCTAGAATGTTCTTCAGAACATTTTGGAGTGTTGTTTTTTGTTCATGAATTTCTTCAGGTTTTCTTTGTCATGGAAGTATGTTATTTTTCAATCAATTTTGAAAGATACTTTTGCAGGATACATCAAACTGGGTTGGAGGTTGTTTTCTTTTAGGCTTAAAACACTTCAATCTCTTCTTGACCAGGGGTTTGTACTGAAAAGCTGGCTGTGATTCTGATGGACTTTTCTTAACAGGTGCCTTGTTTTTTGTTCTGTAACAGCTTTTACTATTCTGTTCTTGTGTTGAATTTCTGAAATCTTTTCTATTATATGCCTTGGCGTAGCTTTTTTTTAATAATCATGGCTAACTGGAGTTCTATATACCTCAATTATCTGTATGTCCAATTTTTTTTCCATGCTTGAAAAGTTTTCTGTCACTACTTCTGTGAGCAAGATTTTTTAAATGTTATTGTACTCTTTCCTATTTCATTGATTCAGATCAATATTCTTCTTCTTTGCATTGTCTAGCAGCTGTTGGATTGATTTTTCACATTCCCTGGCTATTTTTAAGAAGTCATTCATAATCACTAATTATAATCCTGTCTTCTAGATCTGATATTCTGTACTCACACTGGCTTATTCTGATGCATATATATTCAATGGAATTTTGAATCCCCTGGATATCTGTTTGAATCTCTGTTGCAGATTCCATTTCTTTCCTATGATGGGCATTCATGGTTTCTGTTACCTTCCTAAGTACCTCTATATATTTTTTTAAATCTGTACCTGCTCTAGAGTCAATAACCATGTCTTTGATTATAGTCACTATCACTGCAGTTATTTGAGAAGTTATTTCTGATTTAATTTTTTTCTAGAGCCTCATTCATCTATTTTGTTAATTCTGCTGTTACAACTTCAGAGAATCCAGGTGAGTGGTGTTTAAGTTGTTTTACCTTATTGCTCCCTGGGTTTGCCTTTAGTAAACTGGATGGCTAGGATTGCATCTTGTTTAAGCATCTTTTCTTTCAAGTGAAATCTTGGGTCAATGCTTGTAAACTGCTTATGGCAAAGAGTCTTTAGAACCCTTAGAAAATGAATACATCTTAGGGGTGTTTTCCAGATGCAGCTGGCTTTGAGGTTTTGAGTTTTTGCAAGATCCCACCACTTCAATTTATTGGTGATGAGAAGTTGCTGCCTAATCCCGGATTCTTTGGCACTGGCCTATACCATTTTTATGACCCTTAGGCAATCTCAGTCTTGGCATGTCAGGCAGAGTAACTGACTAGAAGGATTATGTCTCTCTGGTTAAGTATACAATCAGTGATAACAATAGCATCAAATAGCACCTAGAAAGCAATAAACTGTGGTAATTATTAATTTGCTACCTTTAACTATATGAACTAGATTTGTTATAGACCAAAATCTAAAACAAACCAGAAAATTGTATATAGTAAATATGCTCTCAGGATGGCAATTTTACCCTTAGGAAGAAAATTTAAAAGGAGTTAGATGTGAAGAATAGAGAAACAGAAAAGGAAGAGAACAGAAGCAAGGCTAGAAGACAAAGGAAGATCACACAAACTGTGAGAAACTAGTGAAGACAAAAAAGAAGGAAGAGATTAAAAACAAGAGCAAACAAAAAAAACTAGAAACAATGTTTAAATTCATATAAAAATAAGGAAAAAAAATGTCCACTTCAAGGTATGTCTGTGTTTGTGGTAGACAAAGTGCACAGAGTTCAAATCTGTGTTGATGATCAATCCTAGCAAGTGAACCAGATTTATGGTGTGGTAGTAGATAAGCCCAGTAAGCCTGCATCTTTAGTTTCACTAAACTTCAGGCTGGCTGGCTGTATCTGTCTGTCTCCGTCTCCATCTCCATCTCCATCTCTGTCTCTCTCCACCACCCCACCAGGCTGTTTCTTGCTGTGATGCTGGAACCTGATTTTCTCAGCCTGACACATTGTGTGCCTCCTGCCAACCTGAACTTTGTTTCGCCTCACCCTGATACTAGGAGCTGCTTGGGCCAGTCCACAGCTACTTTTGAGTTCCAAGCTCAGCTAGTCCCTGTCTATAATCACCCTCCCCTGGGGGACAAGTGAACCCTAATAACTCAGCAGCCACTGTGATCTGCTGGGTCTGTTGTTCAATTCCACTTGGGCATTTCTCTGTGGAGGCCTCTGGGATCACCAATAGTCACCGTGCATCTGTAAGTACACACAGTGAAACAGTGCTCAGGGAGAAAGAACAGCTTGCCACCACCTCTGTTCTTTTTTGTTGAAGTCTTTCTTCTCTCTGTGTGTGGGCTTAGATTCTCACTTCATATCCTTGCTGGGTTCCAGGTACCCACTTCCCCCCTCCTATTCTTCCTCATGTTGCTATATTCTAGCATCTGGACATCAAATCTCAAAGAGGCTCTTCCTCTGCTGTTCACCACTCCACATTCTTCTTGGAAGTCCTCACCCAGATATTCATTTGACTAACTCATTTACTATTTCATATCGTTTTTCCTCACCACTTTCATTGCCATAGTATTTAAAAAATTGAAAGCCCCATGGCCCTTTCTCCTAATTCCCCTAGCTCTGTATTTACCTTTCTTTTGTAATAATTATCACTTTCTAAAGTTGGATGTAATTTGCTTATTAGATCTATTATCAATTCACTCTAAATAATCTCAAAGGTAAGAATCAGTTTTATTAATAGATGTCCAAAATATCCCGAATAGTCCCTTTTTTTAAGTATGCAAGATTACTTAAAAAAAAAAAAAGCAAAATTCCTTTCTCTTTCTGTTCAGACATTCCTCCACAATTTTATATTTCCACGAGGACCAGAGAGTAGTAATATAACCCAGAATAATCTTATAGTATATTCCTTTATCCAGGCATTTTAAACGAGAGTATAAGTAACAGAAAATATCATACTGTAACACACTGGTGAAGATCAAAGTAAGCCAATGAGATTCATTCTCTGGCTAACAAGTAGGCAGAGTAATTCCTTTGTGAAATACATGAAATATTCTTTTTTTTTTTTTTTTTTTTTTGGCTCCAAATGCCTTCAGGGCAGGTTTGGCTGGTTTGAGTTGTGGAGATCGAACCACAGCAACCTGAGCCTGACTGCTTTGTTGAAGCAGCCACTTAAAGAACTGAGCTAAGGGGCAGGCCCCCAAATGAAATATTATTGAAAACCTGTTCATAACATCTTCATTATATAGAAGCAAATATATAAAATTTTTACAGATATAATAGAAAACACTTAAGAAATTCTCCTTGGGTAAGTTTCATTCAAAACAAACAAATTAAAAACTGTCAAAATGTTAAATGAAACAGTCTGACAGGTAACATTTTATTAGCTGAAACACTGCTTGCTTTTATTTGGGAAAGGAGTAGAGATCAGAGAATTACTAGAAATGGTCATTCCCAACCTTTACCCAGAACCAGAGCTACAGAATAAAAAATATTATAAGCAACAGAATCATTGCATAATCAATGTTCTATTTTGTTAGGTCTAATTTTTAAACAATAACATTAGTAAGAAGCAATCCCAGTTGTCTTGGGATTCCTCAAGGCTTGATCTTAGGACCTCTCTTTGCATATTATACTTTCTTCTTAAGTGTTTCATCGATTCCCATATTCTCATATACAACCTATTTGTATACATTTAAACATTTCTAACACAAGCTTAGACCTCCTTCTCAGCTCCATGTTACATCTTCCTGTCTGACATCTTTCTTGGATATCTCAAAGACTTCAAACAAGATTTATGAAACATACTCATTTATTTTATGATTCTCAAGTTACTGATGGTTTTGTTGTTTAACCTAAATTTGACCATTAGCTCAAGGGATGCAGCATTCATTTCTGTTTCTGGCTATGCTTGGCCAAAGCAGGTACACACTATTTTAAGAAAAAACAGTAACATATAAACAAAATGTAATTATTTAATTCTGTAATATCTAGCATTTAGATGTATGTTATTTTTACTTTACTTACCTTACTTTAAACATTAACATATCATAGGATGAATATTGTTCAAAATAAAACCCTGACAGAAATCAAGTTATATGAAATTGATTGTTAGTTTAAAATTCTAACATATAAAAATTATTTTTATAGCTGAAAAAGGGGACACTATAAAATAATTTTTTCCTAATAACTGAATTATCAAGAATACAGATCAAAAGATGAATACAATCCTTTATATAAAAAGTGACTAGGGCTAAGGATATAGCTTAGCGGCATCAGTGCCTGCCTAGCAAGCTCAAGGTCTTGAATTTGATCCCCAGTGCTAAAAAAAAAAAAAGACTAAATTTTACTACCCATTAGTATAATAGTGGATAGATGAAAAACACTGAGATCAAAAATAAGGCTGACAATATGGAAAGAAGCATACTTATAAAAATAGTTTTCAGCATATAAAAATGTCTTATTCTTTTAAAAACTTATCACTATTTTTTCAATGTTGGGATATAACCCTTGCACCTGCTAGTCAAATGCTCTACCAATGAGTGACATTCTTGCCATAAAACCTGTCATTTCTAAAAAGATACAGTTTGCAGCAAAAAACACTTTCTGCAGTCAGTCCCAGGGACTCCTTCAACTCTACATTTAAGTATTATTTCTGTAAGAGGCACAGGTATAGCAACAAAGGTGCATTTAGGTTTCTGTTACAAAAATTAATGATATAGTGAAACAGAAGTTAAACAGCAAAATGTATAGGAGGACAAAAATTCATCAAATGTAGGAGCATAAAATTCATTAAGTTTTAAAATACTTAAGAAAAATAAAAAGAAAAATTCCTGTTCTTACACAAAACAATACTCACTGGTAAATGTTATGTTATTTTATTTTGGTACTGAGGACCAAACTCAGGATCCTGCACTTGCCAGGCAGGAGCTTAAGCTGCTGAACTATCTCCCTGGCCCAGGAAATGTTACTTTGAGTTTTAACAATCAGGGAACAATTCATATACTGAGAATAAAACATATTAAATTTCTATGCGTTAACGTAATATTAAATTATATAATCAAGCTCAGGAAAATTTATCTTTACAAAAATGTTAGTTAAATCCTCAATGATCATAAAAATGATCAAGTCCTTGCTGGGCAAACAGTATAAAACTGCAAACTGATTTTTATAATGCTATTAAGTACGGAAGAGCCAATGGGCTAAATAAAGGCATAATCTTTTGAACTAACTTGATACTTACCAATAATCCACAGAATAAGAAGATAGTCTATTCTTTCAAGAGCTGGTCCCATTGTGTTTTTCTTATCCTCATTGTAGACCAGTGAGTACAGATTTAACAACAGTAAAAATGTGAAATATGATGCTCCATGAATAATAAATTTCATAAAAGGTGTATGAATGATTCTGCCAAGTTGAGATTTGGGAGCTATCAAATAACACAGTGACAAAACTGGCCAAAAAATGCCAACTGTCAAAACAGTCATTATCTTCTTACAGGTGGGCTTACGTCGGTAACCTGACATCTGTCCAAACCAAACAGTGTTCAGGAACTGCTGGCAGTTAGACTGGGAGACAAACTAAAAAGAACACAGATTATAAAAATGCAAAATAGGACCTATAAGTACTTATTAATTGATGAATTCAAGATCTTCATGCTATCTTAAAACAGATTCTATCCACTGAACACAGTTTTAGTCTTAAAATTTAAAAAAAGAGCATACAGGTTATGAGGACAGCCTTTAGAGCTTGAATACCTAAATTTAAATCCAGCATCTACAACTTCCTAAATGACCGTGAGCAAGTTTTTAAACCTCTCTAAAGCCTCAAGCTTGTTAACTCTAATATTCCTCATAAAGTTATAAAGATTCAATGTAAAGCCTTAGAAACAGTGCTTTGTTCTAAGTATGCACTACTGTTAAGTGAATTGTTTTCTCACATTCAAATACTTGCAGTAGTATAAGCTTTTATTTGGCATAACAAAGATTCTTTTTAAAAAAAAAATTTTTAGGGAAGGTTCTACAGGGTGTTTAGAGTCTCACTACTAGATCGGACTTGGACTCAGTGATCCACTTGTCTACAGCCTCCCAAGAGCTGGTATTACAGGCAAACATCACCACGCCCAGTCTCAATTGCTGTCTCAGCACACCCCAGGGGCAGAGCTGGCACAGCAGGCCAGAGGATTGAGCCGCTGGCCCCTGCACCTGCTTGCAGGCACTTTAATTTACTGAGCTATTGGCTGGCCCTAAAAATTTTTATAATAATATTTATAAAATTTTAAAGTTGACATGTAACAGAACTGTCTATATATTAGAGCTATTCATGCTTCAAAAACAATAAAAAAATTTGAAAAATGTATTAAAGACGCTCTTAAATTTCCTTAAAACTCAGTTGTTGTTGTTGTTTTTTATAAGCAGAGGAAAGAGGCCCAAATGGGAGAAAAATTCCAATTCAAATATAGAAATTAATTTAGAAAAGTTTACAAGTTTCTTAGGTTACAAATTTCACTGGCAATATTTTTCCAATACAATGCTCATATTATGAGGTATAACTTAAGTGGTCTGATAATTCTGAATACAAGAATATGACCAGAGGGCCGACGAGATAGCTCAGCAGACTAAGAGCCTGCTTACGCAAGTACAGAGACCAGGTTTGATCCCCCGCAACACATGCCTTGCTGGCCCTGCCCACAGGAGTGCTGAGCCGTCCACTAAGACCAGGTGAGGTGGCTTACACCTGTAATCCCTGTGCTGGGGAGGATGAAAACAGTGTCACTATGAGCCGGAGCTGTGTAGTGAGAACCTGCACCAAATATATTAAAAATAAATAAATATTAATAATATGACCAGCTTTGAAATTACACAAATAGATGGTCATAATCTTATTCAAGTAATCTAAAATATTTTGTTTAAAAAGATTATCTTCAAAAAAAAAATTCCCATAAAAAGATTATCTTCAGATAGAAAATAATTTGTACACTGTAATACTATGATGGAAAAGAGAAAAGGTCAGAATTTTACTGTTTACTGTGCTTATCAAAACATTTTCTAACACAGGTGTGGTGGAATATGCCTTAACTACAGCACTTTGAAAGACTGAGGCAGGAGGACTACAAGTTCAACCCCAGCCTGGAAAACTTAGGGAAAGACACTGTCCCAAACTAAAAATTTTTTAAAGGCCGTAGGTTCCACCCTATAACAGAACAAATCAAAACTAATATGTTATATATATATTTTCAGCAATTAAATCTTACGCCATTTATTATTCTTCAGCTCAGATTACAGAATCCTTATGAAATCTTAATTTGTTCCTCAAAATGAAATACCTGGGAGATAGTTTGTCTTCTCATAAACTACTATGCTTAGTAGCATCCTGAACTTTGTAATATTAGCTATCCTCAAAATATTAAAGCAAACTCAGGATTGATTACCATACTTGCTATCCCTCAAGGTAATAATAACTTAATTAACAGCAATGTTAAATAATATCTGAAAGCAAAATTTCAACTGTAAATGCTCTGAATCTTACAACATACACTCAGATTCTTTGATGCTTCTGTTGTCAATTAAGAAGTAGTGGGTAAGGGCCGACCAAATAGCTCAGCGGATTAAAGCACCTGCAAGCAGGCGCAGGGGCCGAGGGTTTGATTCCAGAGCCTGCCGTACCAGCCCTGCCCCTGGGGTGCACTGAGATGGCAACCGAGACTGGGCATGGTGGCATGCGCCTGTAATCCCAGCTCTTGGGAGGCTGTAAACAGGCAGATCATTACAAGTCTGATCTAGTAGTGAGACCCTGAATACCCTGTAGACCCTTCCCTAAAATATAAATAAAGTAGTAAGCAAAGAAGGGGGATAAATGTTTCCTATCTTCTACTGAAACAGGGTTGGGATTGCTATGATCAGCAGATTCTATAAGTGATGCTATGTAGTTTCTGAAGTTAGGTCTTTAAAAGTCATGAATCTTCTACTTGTTCACTGGAAGACTTACTCTGCTCTTGAAGGCATGAACTCACACACAGGAAGTCCTACTACCCTGAAGTTACAATGCTACGAAGCCCAAGCAACACACAGAAGCCATATCAAAGCCAATCAGTCCTCAGAGGCTTCTTGGACTATCTCTTCACAACCTGCCCTATAATGATCCTGTTCCTCCCAGCGTCCAGTTGTGAGTTCCCAGTAGTTCCACCCCCTGTGGACTCACTCACCTGAGAACACAGCCCACTCAGACGTTACTGTTACTAAGTCTTTGGTAGAAGCTTATAGATGTTCATTCTACTTAGACACATTAGCATTACCTTTCCTTTTTAAGCTAGACAGTTACATTGCTGAATTGTAAATTTATTTCTACACTGATCCAAATTTTTTTACACTTACAGAAACCTCTCTATCTGGGGACACTGCATATTTCTAGTGGATGGACCAGGATGTCCACTTCCACCTAAAGACACAGCTCAGTTTCAAAGCCAAATGTCCCCACTGCCCTGGCACTTCCCCACCACTCCCTGCTCCTGGGCCTCCCCCTCAGACAGGGCCAGGCTTGTGGAAGCCATTCTGCATTAGTTGGCCTTTTTGTTGTTGTTTTTCCAAATTCAGTTTTTCTGCCAGAAGAAAAAAAGAAAACACAAATTCTTGCACTTAAATTCGTTTTTGCCAATAAATGTTGCATCTTGAGCAAGAAACTTAAGAGTAGCAGAAAAACTACAGAACTTGAAGCCAAAGATCTGGATAAGCAATGAACTATCCTAGTTAATCCTAAAGTAAATGTTTTAAAATTCTCACCTCAATTTCCTAAGTCAAAAAACTGTAATGAGGGTCAACTTTTTAACCAATATGATTACAAAATTCTACCAAAAGTCCTCTATTTGCCCCCTACTATGATTACATACTTTAGACCAAATTTTTGTAATACAAATTTGATAAGGAAATTTTATTCTCACGTCAGTGTTGACAATGGGTCCTAGAAGTAATACTTGAAGGACCATTTATTAAAATCCTATGCCAAGTAGATATTATCATCTACATATAAACACCAACACTCAGAGTGGTATCTCAAAACAATGGAATTTAAAATGTATACCTTTTTTCACATTCCTGAATCATATGTATATATGGGGAGTAGAAATGGTTATTCCCCTTAATAGGAAGGGACAATGCCAGAAGAACTAGATTCAACTTAATTATACCATGTGTCTCTCTACCTCTGGATTTAACAATGTATTACAAATGTAAAGAATCAGGAAATATATGATACTTTATTTTTAAATACAAGTTGTTATCATAGATTCATAACAAGATTAGTAAAATAAACCTATGTCAGATAAAACACAAGGTGGAAACTTCATTATAGAGGCTCAGACATTACTTGTGTAGCTCCTACCTGTAGTTAGTAATACATTAAATCAACATCCATATTATACAACTAGTATTATTAAAGACAATATAACTACCATTTGTTGGGTATTTGCTTCATACTAGTATTCACTGTGGTAAGACCTTTAAATATATATTTTTAATTCTTAAAAGCAAAGCTCACACAGATTCTATAACTTCTAAGGACAATGCTATGAAGAAGAACTAAGATCTTGGCCCAATGGTATTCCAAAGCCTTTGCTGTGTGCCACAAGACTATAGTGGAAGGAAAAAAAAAAAATCACAAAAAGCCTCTTACCTCTTTTTGGTTATATTTGATAGCAAGTTTTAGACGACTTAAATTCATTCTTTCCTCTAGCAGTCCTCGCTTATCAAGAGGTTCATCATTTGATGTATGATTTAAGATAACTTCCAACTCACGTGAATTCCGGGCTTGCGCAAGCAAGTCTTTAGCAAACATTTTGCACTGACGAGCTAGTTCTTCATAGTCATTCCTACAACATGCAGTAATTTATTATTAGTCAGTAGCTACAGTCAGTAGAAAATTTTTAATTGAGTATCATTTTAATTCTGATAGGGCTACACAAAATCTGGTCTTTTGTGCCTATAGACAAGGGATGCAACTGGTACATGAATTCTTCACAGTCTTGGAGAAACTGCAACACAATTATGTTCCTTGTGCACATACTGATAATTTTAGATAACCCTTAGATAACCACAATATCTCTTATGTATATTGCCTTTTCTAGAAATTTTAATAATAGTTGCCAGTTTTTAACATTTGCTCTTATTTTCTAAGTTTGGCTACATGCCTTCTGTATTACTCAAATAGATAATAGAATAAATACTGTAATGCTACTCAATCATTATTATAAAATATTTTTAGATAAGTTTCCAATAGTTGCAATATACTTGTGTTCTTCTAATATTGAAAATATTTTCTTTTTTAATTTTAGGGAAGGGTCTACAAGGTGTTCAGGGTCTCACTACTAGATAGGACTCGTAGTGATCTGCCTGTTTACAGCCTTCCAAAAGCTGGGATTACAGGCACGTGCCACCATGCGCAGTCTCAATTGCCATCTCAGTGTGCCCTGGGGGCAGGGCCAGCACAGCAAGTCAAGGGATTGAACCCCCAGTCCCTGTGCCTGCTTGCAGGCACTTTAATCCACTGAGCCGGCCCTTGAAAATATTTTTATTCATATTTAAAACGCTCACAGGAATGAAATTCAAGTAAGAAAGCAATATTAAAATATACCTACTAAAGAAGTTTTAGAATTATTATTGTTTGTAATCTTATTAAACTCTTTGAATTCCTTGTTAATGGCAGATATAAAAATATATGTGAAATGAAGTTTTGGTACATATTTTTTTGTAAAGTATCAATTACATTAAACATGTCTAAACTTAGTAACAACTTAAGAAGTAGGTCAGAGGCTGGGGATATAGCTCTGTAGCACAGTGCCTGTTTGGCAAGCACAAGGTTCTGAGTTGGATTCCCAGTACAAAAAGAAGTCAGAAAGAAAGAACTACAGGCATGAGGTTGGACTTCATTTTTTTTTTTTTTTTTTTTTTTGAGGTTCGACTTCAGAAACTATTTTTTTTTTAAGTTCTTTATCGCCAAGAGAAAGAGAGGTGAAATATGAACTTGCCATTGGTTGGTCTTTCTATATAGAGGCATTTTCCATAAAATTCTAACTTAAACAATAAAAACTTATTTTCTTTACAGGTTAATATTTCTCTCATTCATTCATTCTTTCTATTTACTATGTAACCTGAGAATAAGTAGTTGGACTTCTTCAAATGAAGGAGTCCCTGCTTCTTGACTTAAGAACATAATTGTAGCTAGGAACATTCAAAGAGTGTATTATTACACAGTCATCTCATTTTAAACATCTGATAGATCACTAGATTCAAAGGTAAAGTTAATACATTTTACTAACCTAATTTGCTTAATTTCTAATTATTAGAAAACAAGTGACTATGACATTTAGAGAGAAATGTAGTAGACTAGAAGCAAGGAGACATATGTTCTAGCTATAACTTTGCATCTAGCTCTTGGCTTCAGCTGTTTCTAATTAGATGTTGATATCATCTAGCTTTACAGATCTCTTTTCTGTCTATAAAAACACTGGAGGGCCGGACAAATATTTCAGTGGATTAAAGTGCCTGCAAGCAGGTGCAGGGCCTGGGGTTCAAACTCCATGCCTGCTGTGCCAGCCCCGCACCCCAGGTGCTCTGAGAAGGGAATTGAGACTGGGCATGGTGGCACATGCCTGTAATCCCCTCCAAGCACACTTGGGAGGCTGTGAACAGGTGGATCACTACGAGTCCGATCTAGTAGTGAGACCCTGAACACCTTGTAGACCCTTCCCTAAAATACAGAAAACAAATAAATAAATAAATAAAATGCGTAAAAAACCACTGGATTGAAGTTCTATGGTCACTTCCAATTCTAAATTAAGTACTGCATAACTATAATATTTTCATAGCAGTTGTTTCAAATCTTTTCCTGGAATAAATTCTCTTTCATATGGTGTTATGGTTTGTATCAAAAATGTCCCCCCAAAAGCTGATGTAGGGCCTTATTCAGATATAGGGCTCTTGAAAGGTGACAACAGTGACTACATCATAGGGTATTAACCTCACCAATAGCTAATCCACTGATGAGTTCATAGGTGAACATCCTAATAGGAGGCAGCACTTAGAGGAACTGGGTCACTACTTCTCAGACTGATGGATGTATCTTCTCTCTTTGCTTTCTGCCTACCATAGGTGAGCAGCTTTCTGCTCTATCACCATAGTATTTCTGCACTGAAGTCAGTTGATCCTGAACTGAACTTTGAAACTGTGAAGCAAAACAAACTTTCCTCCTGTACTTGGTCAGAGCAACAGAAACCTGATCAACACATATGGTAACACTAATTCAAATTATTATACTACAACAGGAAAGGCTTCAAATCTAAACAGGTTACTTAATAGTACATACTTAGTGTCACATCAAGTATAAAGCAAATTTAATGTATCTAAATTAAAGCAAGTCTAAATTTGAAAACCTATAAATGGTTATCTTTTATGTATAAGTTTCTTCAAGTTTCTTCAATTCAGAATTATCAAAAATACAACATGTACTGCTGCTGCTATGGCTACTAAAAAAACGTTCTCTTTCTGTCTCTGTCTCTCTCTGTCTCTCTCTCTTTCTCTTTCCCCTCTCTTTGGTAATAGGGATTAAGTCCAGGGCTTTCTCACTGTATTACATCCCCAGCCCTATTTTTAATTTTTCATTTTAAGACAGAGTCTCACTACGTCACTTAGTTGCCTAGGCTGGGTTCAAACTAGTGACCTTTCTGCTTCAACCTCCCAGAGTGTGGGGATTACAGGCCTAAATCAGCATGCCTGGGTCAAAGTGGCAAGTTTCTTAGCATCTTTCCAATAAGTGGACATTTGAATTTTCTGAATTTGTCAAGTCACTGGAGGGATGCTATATAATGCATAGGGCTCCAGTGGAAGCTGGGTTTAGGTCTAGGGCCCTGTAGAAAACTTGAAACAGTTACTGGAAGAAATCCTAACTGCTTCTTCTTCAGACAGCACCAGGGATACTGTGCCATAAAGGAAAATTTTTATTTATTTTCTTAATTATTTTATTATTATTTTGTATTTTAGGGAAGGGTCTACAGGGTCTACAGCGTGTTCAGGGTCTCACTACTAGATCAGAATTGTAGTGATCTGCCTGTTTACAGCCTCCCAAGAGGTGGGATTACAGACATGCACTACCACGCCCAGTCTCTACTGCGATCTCAGCACACCCCGGGGGCGGGGCTGGCACAGCAGGCCTGGGGATGGAATGCCCAGCCCCTGCGCCTGCTTGCAGGTACTTTAATTCGCTGAGCTATTTGGCCAGCCCTAAGGAAAAATTTTAAAGTTTCCTTAGGGATTTAAGGTTGGCTAATAAGTGGCAGAGGGCAGCTGGAAAAAATGATCTAAATAATACCAGGTTCTGTTTCTTTGAAGGAGAAGAAAAATTCCACATAAGTTGACAAGGTACAGTCATTCTGGATCAAATGTAACTAAATGTAAGTAAGTGTAAATTACAATTTAGCCTTTCTTTTGAAACATTTAATTTTCTGAATATTGCTTAATCTTAATTTTTGTTCTAAGATTTATACTGTATCCTTGACTTACAATTCATTTAAAAGACATCGTATGCAACTCTTGTTGCATAGGTCCTGCTTTACCTTGGTCTTAACCATCCAGCAGAAAAGTATGAAGACGAAATTATAAGAAATAAAGCCATGCTGTTAAGTTGAGCTGTGGGGGACTCAGGTCAATAATTTCTAACATTGCCAGTTAAACAGAAGACCCAATGCTA